TGATAAGAACTCCAGTCTTGTGAAGCATAATTCCCAGCTCCGCGAGGCCCAAGCAGAGCAGAAAACAGAGTTCGACGTCAAGCTTCGGTCCCTTGATGAAGAGCTCAGCCATAAAGACAAGGCTCTCGCGGAAAGGGATGCTGCTCTCGCAGCTAAAGAGGTGGCGGCAGCAGAGAAGGAGGCCACTTTAAAAGAAAAGGAGGGTGCTCTCGAGCAAGAGAAGGCTGCTCGCATCCAGGCGGAGAATGCTCGAGCACAAGCTGAAACTGCTCGAGCTGAGTTGGAGGCTACATTGGCTAGAGAGAGAGCTGCCCAAGCTGCCGAAAAACAACGCTATGCCAATGCCACTGCTCTGCGGGCAAGGCAGATGCTCTGGGCCACGACCACCGGGCAACTCTTCTTACGCGAGCACCGCGCACAAGTGGTGGCTGATTTCATGCAGTCACCACAGTTTCTAAAAGAGGTCCAAGATTTCGGGGTGGACTGTTTCAGTTCGCCCTGCAGAAGGCTGGCGAGCAGATTGCCGAGGATGATTTCGAGCAGCTCAATCCGGGAGCGATTTGGGATGCTTTACCAAAGGTTCCCTCCAACTTCCGGGGTGATCCTAATTTACCGCTCGAGCATGAGTGGTGGTCTGGCGAGCTCGAGAGAACCTTTGGTCGATCGGATATCTTGAAGAAAACGTTCGCTCTGCCCGATGACGCTACTCCTCCGACCGCCATGTTGGTCGCAATGGCGGAATCTATCCGGCAGCGCCCTCTGAACGAAGCCTGTGATTCAACCTCTGGCACTGGCCCCCAGCTTGATCCAAATGCCAGCTCGAGCAACGCCGACTCGGCTGCTGCCCCTCTTCCTCCTCCGTAGTGTAGTATTTATGTTTTTCAATTTGCCTTTGTATGTATTCGAACCTCTGTGGTGTGTGTGTTTTCCTTGGTATTTATTGAAATGAAGATGTTTTTGTTGGTTTATTTCTATCTTTCCATATGTTTGTGTTGATCTGCTTTGGTATGCTCTAGCAGGCTTGTATGTAGCTAATCTATTTTCTTTCCTGTAACTTGTGTTTTCGAACATACGTCTTCAGCCTCCTGGCCTTAGCCATCGTAGATATTTGCTTGAACGCGTGTCCACCTTCAAAGAGGTGGTCAATACAT